TCTTGTCTCTCTGCTCCTCTGGAACTCACTTTGATCACTTCCTATTGCCAGTATATCCATGGGTAGTGTAAGGGTATATACAGAACCTCTTCGAGTGTCAGGCTGTTACATTAACATGTAGAAACAGATGCCAGACTAAAAAGTAGGGCTAGAGTGAAAAATGCAGTTTAGCTGAACTACAAATCATCAAAAAAGGAGGAGAAGGATTCCAGCATTTAGGCCTGATCTCATCTAACTCAACTTTTCAAGAAGTCAGGAACTCCCACTATTTGTTCAAATCTCCACTGCAGCCAGAAAAGAGGTTCTGATAGATGGTATCTAGTCTCCCAAGGCGGGTGATATCATAAACCCATGTGCTTTGTTGGACTCACCACCAACTCTCAAAACAACAAAAATACACCACTTTGATGTGGTAACAGCACTGTGAGGGTGTACACACCAGAGCTAAAAAAAAATCCAGGTTTTTAATAAGGCAGTGCAGGACCTCTGGCAGAGACCATTTTCACAAGAGTAGTCGTAACTATTAGAGCTAACCTGTGATGGAAACTCTGAGCACACTCTCATCCCACAGAATTTTTTTACCACATCTCTGCTCATTTTCTGCCACAACAATCTGGAGACATAAAAGTGGGTTTTACACAATTTTCTTCTATGGAACTGCAATTAGCAGACTGGCAAAGAGAGTGGAGATGCACAGCAGACAGGAAGCAGTTCTAAAGATGAGGAAATGGCTCCAGCTTCTCTGTACCACCAGAGTTGCACAAAAGGAAGATTAGTAGTCATTTCTGCAAGATGAAAATATCAAATATTGATCAATTTCTGTAGACAGAAAAGAGGGTGCAACACTCCAACATGGTGGTGTCAGAAAATGAAAAATCATGAACTATTATTTATATTACTCTCACCTCTATACTATTAAAAACCTTTTTTCTACTTTTTATTTCTAGAATTGCACTTATGTGTGGGTTTCAGAATGAAAAATAATTCCCAGAAATTAAATTAAAACCATGAATCTGGTAGAGAGGAGCCATAACAAATTACCTAGCAGTAAAGCTGACAGTATGTCTTGTTCACAGTTAACAGGGATGGGCTACGTGTGACCAAAGCAAAGCACTCAGTGTAGACTACCACCTGAGCTAGTCTCACAAGGACCTTAGCACATTTTTTGGAGCATGATTCACCCAACTTATTCCATATTTTTATGTTAGGGTGAAATGAATCATGTTTCTCAGTAGCTTGTTTCCTTCTGTTAACTTGAAGAAGCTTGCAATGACTAGCTCTCACTGTAGAAAACTGTATTTGATAACAGATTACATATTTGTATTCCAAAAAAAGGTGAACATGACACAAAAAAAAAAGGCAGTTCTGAACAGGAGACAGAAGGATCACATAACATGCTCCTCAGTGCAAGGTTTTTAAATGTCATGTTTGTGATGTTTACATCAACAGTCAATACATTTTAAAAAGTTCCTCCATTTTTTTCAACCTCTAGAAAAAGTCTGAGACCAAATTCTTAGCTATGAATCATGACTGACCTCTAAACCCATGAGAAATTTCATTTTCTATCTAAGGTAATAGGAAACCACAGATGGAGTTGAAAGGTCAGGAACTGCAGAAATCTACTTCAGGAGACTTTCTATTAATTTACTGATTTGTACTGGCTCTGACTCCTGGAAAGGCAAGGTAAATCCACTGAAGTAAATTTGGAAGTGATTCACACTTCTAGTTGGCAAATACTTGCTATGCTTCCGGTTACCACCATGTATGAACTGGCATTTTTAGCACTGAAGGCTGTAACAATAATCTTCCAAATCAATGCTATATGACACAAAGCAAAGAGCAGCACTGTAGGAAGGGAATTCCAGGCTCACCCCCACGGTACAACTCTTACCAAACTACAACAGCATCCAGATTTGCACATTTATACTGTGCAGAAAGATCCATAAGGACCAGCCCAGAGAAGACTCCCAGGCTCATGGACTGCAATCCACACTTCTGACCTGAATGGAGAGTAGCCTTTTGTGGAACCCACACCAAAAGTTAAATCAAGCTTGGTGGAGATAGATCACAGTACCATGGAATCATTTCACTTTGACAAGACCTCCAAGATCACCGAGTCCAACCATTAACTCAGCACTGCAAAGTGCATCACTAAGCCACAGACATAAGTGCATCATCCACACGTTTTTTGAACACTTTCAGAGATCGTGATTCCACCACATCCCTGGGTAGCGCCTCACAACACTTCCAGTGAATGAATTTTCCTTAACACCCAATCTAAACCTCTCCTGTCCATTTCTTCTTGTCCTGACACTTGTTACTTGGAGAACAGACTGACCCCCACCTCAGTACAAGCTCCTTTCAGGCAGCAGTAGAGAGTGAGAAGATCTCCCCTGAGCCTCATTTTTTCCAGGTGCACCATTATGTACCTATATACATCTGCACTGGAAGAAGAACAAGCCATCATGACAACAAATGTGCAGCTGCACGGTGCAGTGTGTATCCATCATGCTTCTCCTCATTTCAGCTTCTCAGTATCCATGTGCCTCAGGGAGCAAAAGCACATCCCACTCAACACACAGGGCAACACCATTAACATGTATTATTTCAGAAAAATAAAAATAATGCACTTGAGCAGAATTTTGCTGAAAGCACAGACTTGCCTGCAGTCCAGCCTGCTCATATATCAGGATGAATTTGGCCCAGTTTATATCCTAATGATTATAATGGATGCTGCAGTCATCTTTTCATTAAGGCAGCAACCAAAAATATTGATTCGTTGTACTTCACACTCCTGCTTACCTTCACAAATTTCAGGAGAGACGGTACATAAGCCAATAGAGTTGGTCACTTTAAAAGTGACTAATGAACTGCACTGAAAGTAAATAAACAGCTATCTCTTTATAAATTAATTCAATATGTGACTTAAGCCCTTTTCTACAGCTAGAAAGCTGATTCATCATTCAGCAGCATTTAAGTTGCCACCAGTTCAATAGCAGAGTATTAATGTTGCATTCTATTTGACACAGAAGGTCAAATCCTGCATTCAGCTTACAACAGCATAACCCTGAGTAACCCAGAAGCCCTGCCCTCCACATCGCCATAGCTGCAGCTCTGCACTCAAAAGTGTTCTTCAAACTGCTTTCAAGAAGGCTTACATGGTGTTGAACATTTGGGGAAATCAGAAACAAGAATCCCAAATCTTTTGATCTGCTGGCTTATCAAGTCTCTTCTGGAATGATTAAGTGAAATCAAACAGGTTGGCTCATTTTCATGCAACACTCATGAAAGAGTGAAAGGCAGAAAAAAATCTTTGCATCTTGGGAGATTTGGGGCTTCTTTGTCTCCACAAAATATATTTCAATTTTGGAAAGAAAGTAAGTATATTTAATGTGGACCACTGAGTACAATTTCCACTCACGTTAAAACATGATTTGTGCTTTACTGAACAAGGGACCTAACTTATTCTAGGCTATCACCTCTACTAGTGCGTAGGCACAGGGTAAAAAAAATGGTTATTTTACTTGGGAGTGACATACACTGAGTTACTTTCCCTACTAGCTCTTTTAAGTTCAATAAATGTCAAATGCTGAGATTTCTGCATCAGTACTGCAGCATTTGCACCAATCTCCCAGTACTTTATAAAGAACCCATTGAGACGAAGTTAATGTTACTCAATAAGTAGGTAGGACAAAATTTTCAAATGCAGGAGCTTAATATTTAAACACATGTCCAAATGTCTAAATAATGTTGCCTGAATGCCTTCTGCTACTATCAGCACTGTAGGATATGAGAGTTCCTAACATTTCTGGAAATTACATTAAGTGCCCTCTTGACTTCTGACACTCAAGTCTGATGTTTCTGGACATAAGGTTTTGACTGCAATCATCTGTGTACAGCTGTAGCAGCAAGGCTGTAGCAGAAATAGAATAAAAATATTTTTCTCTGCTTATACTTAGATGAGAGCCACAGCATTTGTAATGTCGTCTGTTTTTCATAATGTTCAGTTTAGAAAGTTGACATTTGATTAAACAGTTTGAATTTGCCAAAACATACATTTTAATCTTATGTTTAATACCACATTCTCAATTAAAATCTTCAGAAGAAGACATATAAACCACAGTAAACTCACAGATCTAACATATTTAATGTAATTTCTGAAACTGTTGACTAATATTTTCTAATTTCCCCACTACTTCTAGTGCACAGCTGCACCATTACTCCCAACAACCATCAGACGTTGAAACAGCCAGTTTTTAAGTGTTTTACTAAATACACTTTTATATTTAGTATTTTGAACATTTTCCAATAGGGTGGTATGGTAATAAAGTTCAGCATCTGAAAAATCTTCACTATACAGACAATGCTTTCTAACACCAATGTTTGTAATACTACAGTCACCAAAGGAAAGCTAGCACAGGTCATTTACAGCTGTGAACATTTCCCTGGACTTCTACCTTTTACATAAGCACACCAACACTGATAAACACCATGGTACAAGAAAGTGTATTACACAGGATGGTGTGTCATTCCAGAATAACTCCCATGAAAAATGACTCCCAGCAACAAGAACAAGACCACAAATCGGTTTTAGGACAAAATAATCTTTCTTTCGTGCTCCTTATTTCCTTTCATTGGGTTTCACACTGCATTCAAGGTCATGAGCATTTTGACTCTGTGAAGGTGCCCTGAGTAATTTACAGTGATCAACAAATAATGCAGTGACTGTAAGCAAGTCGTTCTGTAACTATCACTGCCTTCTAAATGGAGTCACCACACAGCCGCTGAAAAGAAATGTGCATTATTTCATATTCACAGAGTGATGAACGTAACCAGGTAATTAAATCATGCCATTGCTGTGCCTGGAAAATCCTTACTTATAATTTTATCTTGCCTGTTAAGAAGAACCGAATTTCTTGTTAAGAGTAGAAAACAATTATGTGTCAGCTCTGCTTTTGAAAAAAAACCTCTATGAAGGAGAAATAAGAAACAAGACTCACCAGTTTCTTCATCGATGCTGAATCTCCCCAGGCCACTGCCATCCCTGATGGAATACTGGATCTCCCCATCTCTTCCAGAGTCCTCATCTCGAGCAACAACTTGCAAAACACTTGTTCCAATGCGGGAGTTTTCCTTTACAGATCCAATGACAGCAAAGTCAGGAAAATAAGGGCTATAAAGATTTTCGTTAACATCCACCACTTCAACTTCCACAAAAGAAAGAGAGGAGAGAGAAACGGGGCGCCCCTTGTCCTTGGCACGCACGGTCAGGTTGTAGAACTGCTGCTTCTCGTAGTCGAGCTCCTTGCTCAGGCGGATGGCGCCGCTGGCTCTGTCGATCTCGAAGCGCCCGTTGTAATCGTTCACCAGCGAGTAGCGGACTTGGCCTCCCAAGCCCAGGTCTGGATCCTGAGTTTCCAACCAAGCTATGACAGTGCCAACCGGCAGGTCCTCAAGGACCTTCACGTTGTAGCTGGATGGGATAAAGGCTGGAGAGCAATCGTTAACATCATCCAAAAAAACCTTCAGGGGCACAACGGAGAACTGCTGATGGCCACTCTCCGCTCTGTCCCTAGCCTCAATCTTCAGCGTGTAGTTTGCTTTTGCTTCCCGGTCTAGCTGATCTGCAACATACACCACTCCTGTGGAACTGTTGACACCAAATTGATGGGTGTCTGTCAGTACTGAGTAAGTCACTTCACCATTAGATCCTAAGTCTTTATCCCTGGCTTCTACCTGGATAATCTCTGTACCAAGACTTGTACTTTCTAAAATATTAACCGAGTAACTGTCCTGCAAAAAAACAGGCTTGTTATCATTTGCATCCTCCACAGTGACAGTCAGCAGTCTCCATGCAGATTTCTGTGGATTACCTAAGTCATAAATCGTAATGTTGAGGAGATAGAGCTCTGTTTTTTCACGGTCCAAGGGCATGAGAACACTAAGTATCCCCATCTCCATGTCAATGTTGAAACAACTATCTACATTACCATCAGAAATTGTATAAAGTACTCTTCCATTAAAGCCCGAGTCAGCATCATAGGCTTTTATCCTCAGGATGGTGGCACCAACCGGCAGATCTTCTGAAACCTTTACATCAGTAGGAAAGGATTTGTCAAAATGAGGTGCCTGCCTGTTGACTGAATAAAAATCAAGAAAACCATCTTCCAAATTCAGCTTCACATTTGCTTTTGCCTTTTTGAGCAATTTTTCTGCTAGCTTCTGAGCAACTCTAGTTTCTCTACAGCTAAACGTCTTTGAAGACACTTTCCCATGAACTACTGAAATATTAACAAACATAGAATCAGCGAAGTTCTCTCCATCAGTTGCTGTTATCTTAAGGCCAAAATTGCTGTTCTTTATGCCAGAGTTAACAAGAGACTTTTTAAGCTGCAGGACACCAGAGTCTGGATTTAAATAAAAAATGCCAAGCTCATTTCCAGAGATTATTTTATACTTCACAAGCTCTAACTCATCTATGTCTATTGCAGAAACAGCAGTGATGTGACCACCAACAGGAAAATCAGATGAAATCACTCCCTGACAGGCCACTTTTTCAAAGAGGGGCTTGTTATCGTTGACATTGCCTATGTATATGGTGACATTCACCTCACTTTCGTGGCGGTAGGGAGAACCCCAGTCAGAAGCTCTCACAATGAACCTGTAGCTTTCCGGCGAGGACTCAAAATCCAGTTCTTCAGATGTGCTGATGACACCTGTAAACTGGTTTATTGTAAATGGCAGTGAGTTCAGACTGGCAATACTGTATGTGATGTATCCATTCTCTCCCTGGTCTTCATCAACTGCTGACACTGCCAAAACGCTGGACCCCACTGGGACACTTTCATTGACGAATGAGCTGTAGGAGAGCTGCTGGAACTCCGGAGTGTGATCGTTGGCATCCTCTAACCTGACAGTAACCTGTGCTTTTAAATCACCACCTTTGTTTGCATATACTTCTAATTCATAGAGGTCCTTCTCAATGATTTTCAAAGGACGAGCAGTAGTAATAAGGCCTGTGTTGGGATTGATCTTAAAATACTCAGCGTCCTCACTTGGAGATATTCTGTATTCCACACCGTGTGGCTCAGGCATCAGCTTAACTACTGCAACCACTACACCAGGAGGTGAAAATTCACTTATCAAAACATCATATGCTTCCTTTTCAAACTTCAGGGGGATACTCTCCTTCTTAGGACTAGCAATGTGGACCAGTTTGACTGCAGAAAATTTCTGAGGAGATCCTTTGTCCTTAGCTTGGAGAGTGAGGTTGTAACCATAAGGGAAGCTGTCCCAATCAACAGGCTTTCTTTCTTTGATTTTGTACTCATTCATCCATTTCCCCTCTTTAGTCAGAAAGAATTGTTCTAGAGGATCTCCAGCCACAATAGAAACAGATTCTATTTCTCCATTGGCTCCTTCATCTAGGTCATCAACGTTAACAACTGCATAGGTAGGTTCCTTGTCTGATGGGAAGGGAATGTGGGTTACTACAGTTATTGTTGGGGCGTGTTCGTTTATACGTTCAATGTGAACATAAAGCTTGGCGGTGCTGCTTACGCCATTGTTTCCATAAAGCTTCATCCCACGGTCCACTGCCAAAATCTCAAGGTCATATCTGTTCTTCTCATCGTAATTTAAGCGGCCACTTAGGGAGATAACACCACTCGTAGGATGAACTGAGAAGAGATCAACTTTATTTTTAAAGTAATAATAAAACTCACCATTGGACCCAATGTCCGCATCTGTTGCGGTCACCTGTGCAATGCTAGTCCTTAAGGGAGTGCTTTCTGCTATTGTGACAGAGTACGTGGTTGGTGAAAACAAAGGTCTTAGGTCATTCATATCCAAAACCTGGATGTTCACTTTTGTCCATGCTTCCAAGTCCTCTCCTCTGACAGACCCTTTTACCATCAATAAATAGTTGTCCTGGATTTCTCTGTTCAATATAGCAGAATTCCCACCTTTAGTCCTTATTCTGAGGAAGCAGAAGTCAGCAATGATGACTTCCTCTGCTTTAAAAAAGCCCTCATCATCACCAGACACTATTTTGTACTTGATATCCCATGAAAGGTCAGCCATGGTGATGCCCATCCTAGTCTGACTGTTGACATAGGTCCTGGCTGCAGAATTCTCGTACACTGTGGCATTGTAAGTGGAATGTGTGAAGTGAAAGCCAAGTGGGACAGTCCCGTGAGCCACCTGGCAAATGGAGGCCAGGAACTTGACAATCAGAAGGGCAAGGCATGACGGAGGTAGCCGTGAGCCTGACCAGCGGCCCATATTCACATCCATCACATCATTCTTTCACCCTGGGACAGAGAGAGAAAACAGGAAATGGTTGAGCAAGAGGTAAAAACTGTACTGTGAAGTGACATGTCAAAATTACTTACTACATTTCTAATCAAGAGTAAAATGTATGTAATATCAATGCACCACATATTTAACAAAACAGAAAGAGAGAACACTATACACACACACATACAATCACACCAGCTCTGGGTATTTTCACACCTGTCTGAGTAGTATTTTGCAAGTGTACATACATGCACATATATATAACTATACATACGTATGGATGCACACTTTTTTAACATAAAAGTCTGTACCACATCCATATACACGTGCACACAGTCCAGAATATTAATCACAGTGAAATGAAAATTAAAATCCAACACATATATTTGTATAAGTTTATATAGAAAGATGAACCACATACAGAAATTATTTTGTGTTATTTATCAGCAGCTCCAACTAAGCCTAAACTTCTTTGTTTTCAGAGCATATTGGAAAATTCATTTTCTGTCTCAGCATTTGGAAGAGAGACAGGATTTTCGTATGTATGCAGCACTGTTATAGTCAAATGTTCCCCTTTTTTTATGGTCAGTTAAGAATGATGAAATTTGAGCCACCAAGAACAAGTAGAATAAGAAACTCATTATGCAATCATTACTTTAAATACAGGTACCTTCAGAAAAGGCTCAGTGCCTCACTTCAAGAATCTAAATTGTAAGGTTAAGCAGAGACAAAGTGGAGGCAGTGGCTGAAGGTTGCTGGAGGGTACTGCAGAAGCTGGGAGCCGAGTCCTGCTTATCACTTCCTCCTTGAAAGCAGAGGAAAGGAGCCTGAGGAAACTAGGCAGGTGCTACCATAAGGCAGTGGGTATCTTTGTTACAGAGTACATGCACTGCTACTTGTGAAAATCATAAAAATCGATTTTAAAAGGCAATTATTGAAAGACCCATTGCACACACACATTGTTCTCATGGTCATTTAAAAGCTACTCGAAAATTTTGTTTTCTCCAAGCCAAAATACAGGAGGAAAATGACAGGAAAAGTTGCCAATTATATAGGTTAATTTAAACTTCCAACAAGATTTCAACTTCCCCAAGGAGATTTATAAATTGCATGCAAGTTTTGAAATACAAATTCATATTAGTTATCACCTCCAAAGTAATGGAGGGACTACTGCAGTTTCAGTACTAATAACAAACAATTTATCACACTGATGTGGCAATGTCCACAGACCACAGTTAACCTCCTGATCCCATAGTCTATATCCCATCGTTTAACACACTGATCAATTTGGTCAATTCTCCCAGGTGTTCGTCAAAGTACTCATCTTTCAGTACATTTACTTTCATATGCAGTTCTCCCCCGCCTTTATTCCTTCTTATTTTCTTTTCTATTACGTTAAAAAAAGTGAAATAAACTCTTAAAAAAAGACAATTAAAATATAAGATTCTATCACCTTCTCGACCTGCATTCCCCAGCAAATTTCACTTGTGGCAGTTTCTTCTCTGAATATGCCCACTCAACTATTGTGCATATAGCATATGTGAGTCCTGTGAATAACATCTTGTTCCATACAGTTCATACATCAAATAAACACAATTCTCCAATGTGCTTTGGGTACATGAGGGAACAGGTCTCTCCTGATCCTTTGTCTATAACCACAATACCTGTTTCTCTTCCTGCTAAGAGACAGATTTCTTTCTGGCTTACAAAAGAGACTGATGTTATGTTTCATATGAGCACCTAGATTTCTTTCACCATGGCAACTTCCTAGAAATTCATTTCCCTATTCTTTGAAGTAAGGAAATGAATTATCTTATCCCTATTTATGTCTCATTTGGTGATCTAATTTCTCCTGTCCATGCCATAGCTCAGCACGAGCTGGTTTCTCTCCATCTTTCAGGGACATCAACATCAAGTTTTCAAGTCCAACGTAACTGGAAATCAGTTTTCCTGAGAGCACCATTGCTACAAAAAAAAATTATTTGAAACTTTACTTTCAGCCCTACTTCAGCCCCAAGGTTACTGACTGCTGTGGCAGACAGGCATCAAAGCAGATATTTACAAAGCTCTGTGATTAGGGGAACCTAATGAAAAAGTTGTGTATATCCTAGGCAATACAACATGACAACTTTATGCTCCTGTTCCATTTATCTTCCAATTTTTAAAGAAAGCTGGGGCTAAGACCTAATCTCAAACACACTGCTGCAAACCCAGTCATGTCAATAGTCTACAAAGTTTTAGAGGTTCAGTGCAATCAATATCAGTCCTGAAACACTAAATTCCACCTAGAAGGAGCATATGTATATGTGTGTGCTATTGAGAGCATGTTTTAGCTATGTGTACATATGTATGCACAGACACACAGATTGTGTATTTTTAGGTAGAATTTCATGGTTGGCACTGGAAAAATTGGACCTTCACATCAGGCAGCACTTTTAGAGTTTGATTTCATCTCAAATGTGGTATGCAGAGTTGTAACAAGCTCCCCACTGAAGTTATTAATCTATCCATATATTTATATGGCTATCATCATTATATTATATGAAAGTCCCAATGGATGAGCTATTAAGCTGCCATTTGGGCAACCCAAGAATGTTTTATTCATTTACTGAATTCCTTTTTTCTGGGATATTTGTTTTTAAGAGCTCATAATACATACATACTTAACACACAGGAAATGTAACGAGATAGGTTACAGAAACAAAGTACAAAGCAACCCGCCATGAATTAGGAGTCATTTCTTTAAAGGCACTTCTTGTCAAAAAATGTTATGTTTGAGTGAATAGAAAGGCTGTGATTACTTTTGCTTGACTTTAAAATGTTTGGGCAGGAGTTAGTGAAAAAAAAATTCCCTAGTACTGCTCAACATGGTTAGCATGAAGGAAAAAAAGGGAAAAAGAAAGGATATTAAAGGAAAAGGGAACAAGAAAAAAGGAAAAGGTAAAAGCTTTCCAGAAAGGAAAACTGGTCTACAACAGCAGCAGAAACTAAAAGGAAACAACTCCCTTTTAACTACCCAAGGAGGTGAAAAAATAACACAATATAGGAGACCAGAATCTTTCCACTCTAGGTCTCATTAAATACTCTGGCCTTGCAGTGGGAAGGAAAAAATAGAAAAACAGAACACTGTGTCTTGATTTTCAATACTCTTTAAAAGAAATCTGAACATCATGGAGAACTCTATGATTTTAAATTCAGTCCATCATTTGAGTCATTTTCCTTTGCTCCTTGAACAAGATTAACTATGTGACCCAAACCTTGCAGAACAGCTGCAAGGACCTGTAGGTCCTTAGAAGAATTGAGAGAGGTATGATCATCATTCCTGTATCTCATTTTGGCTCTAGCAACCTCCAGTCTGGGCTGCATCCAAACATAACACCCCACCAGACAGAGAAGGAAGACCAAAGGAACTGCCAGGATTCCTGCACACCAAAAATGTGGCTCTAACTCAATGTGAAGATATGAAACAAGTGTCCCTTGGTTTGACTCCTTCTCCCTAGGCTGACTTTTCTAATTCCACAGATCTCCACACTATAAAACACTTGAAAAAGAAAACAGTGCATGTGTCTCTTGGGTAAACAAGAGCAAAAATGTCTTTTACAGAAAGTAAGGAATACAGCAGGCAAATTTCTTTCAGGAGGAATAAACTTTTAGCAGGCCACAGATGGGATAACAGAAGAGCCTTCTGCTCTCTCCCTACTTTGCCTCCAAGCCCAGGTATACTCTGAGAGCATGTTTCCAGCTGGCCATCAGGCAAATTAATTCAATGTGACTAGTTAATACAAAACAACCATTAAAGGCTTTTTTACATGTCCCTTGAAGACAGAAGAAACCTATCTCTGCTTTTAACTTCCAGCTTCACTCAATGAAGAACCCAATGGAGTTCATATACAGGTCCTCTGGGCTATGAGGAGGAAAAAAGTTTCTCAACTTCAGACAAATTTCTGAGAGTCAAGGTATTTATGTACCCATGTGTATGGGGGAAAAAAAAGGGGGTAAAACTGTGACTGAAAGGTTTTCATCTTAGTTTGCATTTCTCTTGGTGAAGCTGCAAAATGAAGCATGTCTCCTCACAAAGGAAAGGATTGGAAACCTCATGGCATGGACAATTAGTACAATTTGAAATTACTATTGTTTCCTTGAGAGAGTTGTCACAATTCTCTTTCAAATGGTAGCATTTAAATTTTACTAAACAGGCAGCTTTACAGCAAAAAAGGTATATTTGAAAATGTAAACTTATTTTTAGGAAGTAGAAGAACAGTAACATCCCATGCACATGAAGTCTAAATAGTACGTAGAGAACTCACACATCTGCTGCAGAACAGAAACTCTTGATTTCTTGGTAAGTGGCCTTAATTTTTCAAGGTAACTCCTGTCACTCAAACACCAACATCAACAACAACCAATGTATTTTCACTGCATTTTCACAAGGCATGAAACCTCTTCCCAGTGTTCTTTTCTATCAACAACAGCAATTTTACTACACAAAAACTTCTGCATGACCAGGCCACGAGGATCTGCAAAAAGGATACAAGGAGGATTGAAAAGCATTGTGGTAGGTCTGCAGTTGTCACCTATGAAAGGCTTGCATCAAGCTGCAAACAGTGATAGAAAAACCTAACGAATCCATTGTCAATATTACAGCCAGGAGGTGAGAGTCCATACACATCAGCGTCCTCTTGGAAGAAGTCTCTTCCTTAGCCCAGAACCATTGAAAACTCTTCCAAACTCACAGAAATTATTATTTAGGCATATGGAAGATATTGATTTAGGAGTTTAAAGACCAAGAGAGACATGGATTTTTTTAACTCTCCTCTCATTACACAGGCAGTATCACTAGCATGTAGTCAAATGAATATTGAGTAAGGGAAAAAATGTTTGAACAACACTTCCCCTAGCCAGACAACTTCCTTGCACTCCACAATAACTCACCCAGTTACGAAAGGCTAACAATTTACTGGCCAGGAAAAGAAATCAGAATACAGAATAAGAATTTAGAACTTGTGCCATGCAG